TATAGTACACATATTGCCCTATGACAGTGGTTAACAACCCCACGACATGTCAACACTGTCCCTTCTCAACCTTGGGTTCCCTATCACCAGCTTTCTTGTCCCCGCCTGCCTACTAGTCCTTGTCCCTGGACTGCTGTGCTACATTAGTCCCATTTTATGAGGCTGTCCAGTCCCCAGCTGAACAGTGAACTTGGGGAGTGACTTCACCACTGAGATAAAAGGGTGTCTGGAGGCCATACTCCGGGGGTTTCTCCAGTCTGTCAGGCCAGTAAATCTGGTCTTTTGTTGGTGAGTTAGAATTCTGTTCTACATCCTTATCTAGCTCTGTCCAGAACCCTCTATTGGATCCAGGTCAGAGCAGTCAGTGGTGGTAGCCGGGGACCATGAAATTGAAGATTTTTACCGACTTCTGCAGTCTGAAATTGATCAAACATGCAGTCAGGATGCATTGATAATTACTGGTGATTGGAATGCAAAAGTAGGAAACAGCGAAGGATCACTAGTTGGAAAATATGTCCTCAGTGATAGAAATGACACAAGAGATCACATGATAGAATTTTGCAAGACCAACAACTTTTTCATTGCAAGTACTTTTTTTCAATGACATAAATGGCAACTATACACGTGGATCTCACCAAATGGAATACACAGTAATCAGATCGACTACATCTGTAGAAAGAGACGATGGAAAAGCTCAATATTAGTCAGAACAAGGCCAGGGGCCAACTGTGGAACAGACCATCAGTGGCTCATATGGAAGTCCAAGTTGAAGCTGAAGAATATTAAAACAAGTCTGCAAGAGCCAAAGTACAACCTTGAGTTTATCCCCCCTGTATTTAGAGACCATCTCAGGAATAGATTTGACACATCGAACAGTAATGACTGAAGACCAGATGAGTTGTGAGATGACATCAAGGACACCATAATGAAGAAAGCAAGAGGTCATTAAAGAGACAGAAAAGACCAAAATGGATGTCAGAAGAGACTCTGAAATTTGCTCTTGAATGTAGATAGCTAAAGTGAATGGAAGAAATGATGAAGTAAAGGAGCTGAACAGAAGATTTCAAAGGGCAGCTCAGGAAGACAGAGTAAAGAGTTATGATGAAATGTGCAAAAACCTGGAATTAGAAAACCAAAAGGGCAGAACAAACTCAGCATTTCTCAAGCTGAAACAACTGAAGAAAAATTCAAACTCGAGTTGCAATATTGAAGGATTCTATGAAATATTGAATGATGCAAGTAGCATCAAAAGAGGATGGAAGGAATTACACAGAGACAGTGTACCAAAAAGAATTGGTTGATGTTCAGCCATTTCAGGAGGTAGCAGATGATCAAGAACCGATGGTACTGAAGAAGTCCAAGCTGCACTAAAGGCATTGACGAAAAACAAGTCTCCAGAAATTGACGGAATACCAGTTGAGATGTTTCAAAAAATGGATGCAGCACTAGAGGCGCTCACTTGTCTCTGCGAAGAAATTTGGAAGACAGATACCTGGCCAACAAACTGGAAGAGATCCATATTTGTGCACATTCCAAAGAAAGGTGATCCAACAGAATGGAGAAATTATTGAACAATATCGTTAATATCACACACAAGTAAAATTTTGCTGAAGATAATACAAAAACAGGTGCAGCAGTACCTCAACAGGGAACTATCAGAAAGTTACGCCAGATTCAGAGAAGGATATGGAAGGAGGGATATCATTGCTGATGTCAGATGGATCTTGGGTGAAAGCAGAGAATACCAGAAAGATGTTTACCTGTGTTTTTTGACTATGCAAAGGCATTCAGCTGTGTAGATCATAACAAATTGTGGATAACATTGTGAAAAATGGGAATTCCAGAACACATAATAGTGCTCATGAGGAACTTATAGCTAGACCAAGAGGCAGTCATTTTAACAGAACAAGGGGATACTGCGTGGTTTAAAATCAGGAAAGGTGTGCATCAGGGTTGTATCCTTTCACCATACTTATTCAGTCTGTTTGCTGAGCAAATAATCTGAGAAGCTGGACTGTATGAAGAAGAACACAACATCAGGATTGGAGGAAGACTTATTAACAACCTGCAATATGCAGATAACACAACCTTGCTTGCTAAAAGTGAAGAGAATTTGGAGCACATACTGGTGAAAATCAATGACCACAGCCTTCAGTATGGATTACACCTCAACATAAAAAATAAAATAAAAAAATCCTCCCAACTGGACCAATAAATGGACAAAATATTGAAGTTGTCAAGGGTTTCATTTTACTTGGATCCATAATCAACGCCCATGGAAGCAGCAGTTAAGAAATCAACGGATGTATTCCATTGGGCGAATCTGGTGCAAAAGACCTTTTTAAAGTGTTAAAAAGCAAAGATGTCACTTTGAGGACTAAGGTGTGCTATGGTATTTTCATTCACCTTGTATACATGCAAAAACTGGACAGTGAATAAGGAAAACTGAAGAAGAACTGATGCATTTGAATTATGGTGTTGGCAAAGAATATTGAATATACTTTGGACTGCCAGAAGAACGAACAAATCTGTCTTGAAAGAACTATAGCCAGAATGTACATAGAACTCTAGGAACTAGAAGTTAATTCCCTGAAATCTGTCTTGGAAGAAGTACAGCCAGAATGCTCTTTAGATAGAAGGATGGCGAGACTTTGTTTCATGTATTTGGGACGTGTTATCAGGAGGGACCAGTCCCTGGAGAAAGACATCAAGCTTGGTAAAGTAGAGGGTCAGCAAAAAGAGAGGAAGACACTCAGTGAGATGGATTGACACAGTGGCTGCAACAGTGGGCTCAAAAATAGCTATGATTTTGAGGATGTCACAGGATCTGGCAGTATTTGGTTGTGTTGTACATAGAGTCGCTATGAGTCAGATCCGATTCGATGGCACCAAACAACAACTTTGGTCTACTCCTTTATTGTTGTTAATTGCCATCGATTTGATTCCGACTCAGTGACAGTCCTATGTGTGCAGATTAGAAATGACCAAGGCTGTAATCTTCACTAAAGCAGTCTGCCCCACATTTTTCCTTTGGAGCGGCTGGTAGGTTCAAACCGCTGACCTTTAAGTTAGCAACCAAGCGCTTTTAACCATTGTGCCACCAGTGCTCCTTGTACCATACCTATTGTTGTTGTTTTTTTTATGTGCCATGGAGTCAGTTCCTACTCATAACTACCCTGTAGGATGGAGTAGAACTGCGCCATAGGGTTTTCTAGGTCGTAATCTTTACAGGAGCAGATTGCCCACTCTTTTCCCCTGGCTACCTTTTGGTTAGCAACTGAATGCTTTAACCATTGTGCCACCAGGGCTCTATTGCACCAACTGTAGTGGTCCCTAATTTGGCAGTTATGAACCCCAGATAACAGAATATCTTCCGAGGTTCTCTTTGAGGTTCATGGTTTGAAGTTGCACTTCACCAACCAGTTCATCCCTGTTGATCAGAATTGAGTTAACCTTTGTCTCATTGTTTCTCTGACTTCTGTTGTTGTTAGGTGCCATCGAGTTGATTTGACTCATGGTGACTTCATGTAACAGATTAGAACTACCGTATAGGGTTTAATAGGCTGTAATCTTTATAGGACCAGATCACCAGGTCTTTCTCCTGTGGAACTGCTGGGTTCAAACTGCCAACTTTTTTAGTTAGGAGCCAAGCACTTAACCAAAGAAGCACCATCAGAGGCTTCTTTCTTTGACTTCCAGAAGGTGAAGTTGCCTTTTAGCAGAATTGGATTTCCAGTAGCTCTCTGAATAATTAAAATTTCTAATCACTCTGTTATCATCTGCCAGTTTCATATTGTGTATCAGGAAAGCACCATTCATATCTTCTATATATTCTCTCACTTCTGCTTCCATTTTCTTTTTAACCTCTGTCAGTCTCTACCATGATTCTATCTTTAGATTGTATTTTTCCGTCAAGGTGGATTCTTTTAACATACAAGAGAAGCTGCTTTCTCTTAATCAGCTCAGTTTCTTCGGATTGAGGTGTAGATTTCCATATCTCTACTCCCCTTTAAACCCTATTTGTCCAAACTTTGGTAATTCCTGTGAAATCCTATTTACTCTTAGATTAAAATTTTAAAGCTATCTTCTTATTTATAGTCTGTGCATTAATATTTGGCCACCTGAGACCACAAGTTTTGTTTCAGACCTTTTCCTGTGAGTTTCTGGGTACTTGCTCCACCAATGTTATTCTTCATATAGCTGGTCAACACTGTACCTTTTGATTTGTATTTTGTTTTCCAATGCCTTTTTTTAGTTCTGTTGCTTAAACCTATTTTCTCAGGTCAGCACATATTCTTCCAAAAAACCGTTTTGTACAATGAGATGCATTTCATCTCTTGCCAAGAGCCCACAGTTACGGTATCTTAAATCCTGGTCAAAAATAAAATGCTGCATTTTAACCATGCGTTTGTAGCCAGTTGTCCATTTCTGTGATCTTCTCCCTTCTCTTCCAAAACCGCAGCCCTTAGCAGTACCCTCACCTTCTTTTAGTGGTTATCTGCTCTGGGTTAATCATTTGATAGTGGTGGTGGCTTCTGCTAAAACAGCTACATGCTCTTGCTGAATTCCCTTGAGATCATTCACATTCATCTGCTAAAAGATAAGACGAATAAGATTGTTAAATTTGAGGTGGGATTAGATAAACTATAGAGTCCCTTCCAAATTAAAAATTCTGATTTCATATGTAATGAAAGTAAGAGGGACCTGTGAATTTAATTATTAAAGTATTCCCACACCGTAGCTTTTTTAAAAGAACAAATCTTTGAGTTTGTTCCTTAAGATTTGAGATTACAAGTCTCTCTCTAATTTAGCGTTATTTGTTTTTGAGTGTCCTTAAAAGAACTATACTCCTGTACCAAAGTTGCCTGCCAGCAAGTTACTGTGGTTGGGTGTATCAGAGAATGTCACTGGATTGGCACCACGGTGATGAAGTCACGGCAAAGTTGCTGTGAGTTTCCCATCCATTACCAGCTGTTGGAACGCAGAATGAGAATTATGCCAGAAATTCCTCCTCAGTGTAATGGTACATCCTAGTAAAAAGAAACTGTTCAGGTATAACTTTCTTTTAGAAACGTTTACACGTTGAAACAGCCACACTCGTAGGCCGATGTTACTTTCCTCCTCAACATATTTTGTAGTTTGCTCCTCAGGTAAACTTGTTTCGATATTGCCAAGCATATATACTTTTGCTAACCACAGTCTTATCTCTGCTACACAGATACAAGTAGAGTTAATGAAGTCCATTAGTTTAGATTAAAGTTTAACTAAATCCGCAGGCACCTCCATCTTTGTTGACCACAGGGGCACCCATGTGTCTGCCTAAAGACGTGTCCACTCCAGCAGCAATAGCTAGTTATTCACTCTTGGTTCTCTGATGTTCTCATTCCCTTTTGGGGGGTGGAAGGTCTTTTGGTTTCCTCATTGGATAATGTTATTTTGTTATTGTTTGTTAATGATGCTCCCTGTTCCTTTCTGCCATTAGAGTGGCCTGAGGGCTGCATCATATATAGATGAGTTAAACATGGATATGGGCTCCTCCTGATTTTTCATGGGTTATTGCCTCCATCTGTTCATTCATACTGGTGATTGTTATGCACAATATTGTTTCACTTTCCATTTTTCTTGCAGTTTCACCACTCTGATTGCCTTTCTACCTGGCTGCTTCATTTCATTGCCACTAACTACCTCATCTTCAGTCAAAAGCCTGAATTTCAGGACCTTTCAGGTAGATTGCCAATTTCTATTTTGGAAAGAAAACTTTGTTACGTATTTTTGTTCTTAGATTTGAGACATAGTCGACATTAAAAAAACAAAAAAAGAATAGTCACTACAGTGCATTCCTTTTAAATATGCAATATGAATTGAGGACCCTAGTTTATGGTCACTTGTGTTATATAAGCAGCTTGACTTGTGTTACACAAGAAGTTTTCTAATGATTATTTTATAGCACCCTTCCATTTTTAAATGCATCTTTTTTTTCCCCCCTGAAATAGAGAATAAGGTGGAGAAATGTGTTCTCAGGTGGCATTTGGTGGTAATAAATAAGATTTTGGTTTTAACTGCTTAAGTCAGAAGCAAAATTTAAACAGTTCAGATTTTTTTTAAAAGTTCTTGTAAAAGAAATGTAGCTGTTGTTTATTATTTAGAATACATGTAATTTATAATATATTTAATATTTATAATTATAGTATCATTCTATAATAATGAATATACTTAAGTATACCTGGTGGCGTAGTGGCTAAGAGCTCAGCTGCTGACCAGAAAGCTGGCAGTTCAGATCTACCAGCTGCTCCTTGGAAACCCTATAGGGAAGTTCTGCTCTTTCCTGTAGGGTCACTATGAGTCGGAATCAACTTGATGGCAATGGGTTTGGTTTTTTGTTTGGTTTTATTGATTCTGACTCATAGCAATCTATATAGGAATTCGTTATATTACTTTGGAACAATAAACAATTATTTTAGTGATTAAAAATGTTGCAAAACTTACTGAGCAGAGAGTATATGTAATGTGATTTTTAAGGTAAATTATAAGGTCAAAACGAATCAAAGGGTGTGCTTCCGAGTGCTGCTTAAGAGGAAAGAAAATGAAAACAGAATAGTCATCAGGGTAGACAATCAGTGTAGACAGAATGGTTTGCTCATCTTATTACCTAGAATAGAAGTGTTAGAACTAAAAGGGAAGGGGAATTAAAGATCACCTAGTCAAGTAGTTTTCAAACTCTGGACAGAAGAGTCTCCTTGGAGGTTTTCTGGGGTGGGGGGGCGGGCAGAGAGTAGGGGACGGGTGAAGGGAAGAGGAGAGAGGGAGTAAGGGAAAGGGGAAGAGCCAGCTAAAATCTGCAGTTCTTGGACACCTCCGTCCTCCCTTCAACTATAGTGCTTCTACTTTTATCTGTTTTATATCTTGGAGTTCTACGTAAGATTTTATTTGTAAAAAGGATTCTGCTGCTAAAAGATATGACAATCTCTTGGTTTTGTTCAGCTGTTCATTGTGCAGTGAAGGAAATTAAAAACTATACTGTATTTTTGGCAGATATATTCAGCCAGTCAACAAACATTGTATACCTATTGGGAGGAGGTAGGATCCTAGACTCTGGAGCCACTTTACACGGAATTCAGCTACGAAAACAGTAGATTAACATAATCAAATCAAAGCAAAACAAACCAAAACCAGTTGCCATGGAGTTGATGCCAATTGCTGGTGACTCCATTGTGTCAGAATGGAACTGTGCTCCATAGGGTTTACAGTGGCTGATTTTTCAGAAGTAGATCTGGGTAGACTCAAACCTCCAGTCTTTTGGTTAGTAGCTAAAGACTTAACTGTATTTAGCACCAGCTATGTGCAAGAAAAAACAATCCCAGTGTGGTAGGGACATTCTTATATGGTTATCCTTTAAGAAGTCAACTAAAAGTTAAACGAACTGCATTTTAATCTTAGATCTACTTTATGCCACCTTAGGTCATCTTCATTTGTAAAAGAATGAGATTATTTTCCACTTACTGTCTTATATAGATGTATGATACACATGGAGTATGATTACAACTTTGGAACTTCGGGAGAAACATACTCCATAAATCCTTTGAGTTATTAAGTTTTATAGTATTACTTATACAATTACCTATAAAGTATGTTATGACCACCTGGCATGGTAAAAAGCAGGGCCACAGGGATTTTGAGATGGCAGGATAAGGCGTTGAGGCTTTGTCAGTGATTGTCTTATGTTGCTTTGATGGAAATTGAAAGGGTATCATAGAGCTTTGAATCAGCAGTACCTTTTCAGGCCCAGGATCCCACTGGTGAGGCATCCTCTTGGGCAGAGAAGAAAATCTCCTCCTGGATAAGGGAGAATTTGATAGTCTAAATCAGAGGTCACAAACTGGCAGTCCATGGGCTTAAAGCAGCCTGCTTAGGGTTTTTTTTTTTTTTTTTGTGACAACAATTAAAAATTGTGACATGTCACATTTAAAAAACCCAGATTTCGGGCTTCTTTTGAGAAGTTGGAAGATCTAGGTACCCTGTGCCCACCCTCATGGCAACAGTAACCTGGAGCCAAGGGTTGGCTGTTCATTCAAAGGCTGTCTTAGGCTGGGTTCTCTAGAGAAGCAAAACCAGTAAAGCATGTAAATATATACAGAGAGAGATTTATATCAAGGAAACAGCTTACGCGATTATAGAAGCTGGAACATCCCAAGTCTGTGGATCAGGATAGAGGTTTCTGCCTGCTAGAGATCTGTTTGAGGACATAGATGAAGTATTTTTTCACTTGGAGCCCAGTTTTGGTTTTTTAATTTGTTTATGCTGCTAGTACCATTGCTAGGCATCAACTAAACCAGTATCCTATTTCCTACTCAGTTTATATCAACCACTGTACATATCATAGGTTTTCCATTTGTGTTGTCAAGAACACTCTGTATGTTAAAGATGTTTCTTAAAAGATTTATGCAGAGGTAAAGGGAAATGAACAGCAAACCTATTTATGATCTTACTGTTTGTTCATTTTTAATCTTGTCGTCTTCCCAGCTATCACTGATTTAAAACCCCCAAAGCCTTATTCAGACTTCAGATATTACCGTTAGAAATCCTTATGTTAAAATGAAAAAAAAGCTCACATACACATAGCGCATTCATGATCTCATGATCAAATTTTTATTTGAATCTTTAGCTAATCTTGTGATGTCTTTATTCTGATTTTTGCAGTATTACCATCTTTTTAATCAACCTTCATTTCCATGTGCTCTTTAAGAGAAATTTAATGCCTTGGAGACCTGGTGGCATAGTGGTTAAGGGCTCAGATGCTAACCAAAAGGTCAGCAGTTTGAATCCAGCAGCCGCTCCCTGGAAACCCTATGGTGCAGTTCTACTCTGTCTTATAGGGTCGCCATGAGTTGGAATCGACTCGACAGCAACGGGTTTGGTTTTTGGTTTTCAGGGCCATAGGGTTGACTTTCTCCCCACCATTCTGATCTCACTTCCCACTCCCCTCCGTGTCCCTTCCTGTGCTCCAGCCACACTGGTTGATCTTGCTGTCCATCCGACTTGCCAAGCATGTTCCCACCTCTGCCTGGAATGCTCTTCCCACAGATGGTTGGAAGGCTCCCTCCCTCACTTCATTCAGATCCCTGCTCAACGGTTCCTTTCTCAGAACAGCCTTCCCTGACCACCTGACTTAAAATACTAACAACTCCTTCTTCCCTGTGGGTCTTCCTTGCTTCATTTTTCTGTAGAGCACTGATTACCACCTGATATTGCATTATATAATTTTTAGCTTATCAGTTTATTGTCTGATCCTACCAGTAATGTGTAAGGTCCTAGAGGGGAGGGACTTTTTGTTTTTAATCATTGCTGTATTGCTAATGTCTTGAGCAGTGCTTGGCACACAGCAGACACTTAATAAATATTTCTTGAATGAATACATACACAAATAATGAAAACTTTCATACTCCTTATTAATAACTACATTTACCCAAGTTCACTTAGGATGAACCTAAGTACTGAAAGGAACCTTGGTTTTACCAAGAAGAATTTCTCTGAATGGAGGGAACTAGGAAATAAATTATTACACTGAATGAATGTTTTTGTTGTAGTATTGGCATAGCAAATGATTTCCATTAAAAACTTCAAATTTCTTTATCACCATGAGCTTAATCCAGCAAAGGCTCAGTGAGCATGTGGGGATGCCGTGTGTCAGCTGGAGTGGAGGAAGTGCTGTGTTCTGGATTAGAAAACCATGAAATGCTCGACTGCACATGCAGTGTGAACCCACATCAATTTGCAGTCAGAATAAGGGCTTTGGTGGCCTTATCAGGACCGCACTCACAGGGTGTTTTTGGCCTGTGGTAACTTCAGCTACTGCTTTTGACTCCAACCCCAATAGTGTACAGTTCTTTATTTTTTAAAAAATATTTTCTTACTTTTTTAAAGGGAGAATTTCAAACACACACCAAAATACACAGAATAGTATAATGAACCCCCTGTTCCCACCACCCAGTTACCAGCTCGTGACCAATCTCATTTCAGCTAATCCAGCGGCTTCCCCCCTTACTTTATGAAGCAAATCGCAAATACCGTATCATTTTATCCATAAATGTTTTTGGTGTGAATCTCTAAAAAAATAAGGACTTTTAAAAAATGTTACCTCAGAATCATTATTGCACCCATAAAAATCAACATGAATTCCTTAAACCATCATGCATCTAGAATGTGTTCACATTTCTAGTTAGCTCATAAACGTCATAATTTTTTAAAATGTTTGTATTAGGATCCGAATAAGGATCACACATTGCAATTGCTTGATATGTCTCCTAAGCATTTTTAATTTATAGGTTCCTCTTTCATCTCCTTTTCCCCCTTCTAATTTATTTATTGAAGAAACTGAGTTATTTATCCCATGTAGTTTGTTTATTCATCCCTGTGATATAGTTAACGTGCTCCTCTGTTCTCTATTTTCTGTAAATTTATAATAGGGTCTAGAGGCTTCATTAGATTCAGGTTCAGTTTTTGAAAAGACTACTTCCTAGGTGGTATTGTGTATTTCCATTAGAAGATGCATGCTATTTGGCTGTTTCTTTTTTTTTTTTTGTGATGTTAGCAGCCTGATGCTGTAGAGATCTTTCGCAGAGATTCTTGTCACACAGTTTCTTTACAGCTTCTTTGTACAATTACCCATTTTCAGATTCAGAAATTATCAAGTTATTATTGGGATTGTAAGAATCATTTTCTTTTATCTGAAAAGTTTTTTTAGTGGTGGATAGAAATTGAAAAGTGAGACTGCAGAAGATCTCAGGTCAGTGCAGGTACTGATACATCAGAACTCAGATAGGTCATTAAATATTAGATTTTTACATACTGGGGTCTTGTGTTATGAAAACAAACAGCAGTGCACAGGAATATAAGGTACGCTTGACAGTTATGGACTTATATTCTCACAGTTAGGAGACTTGTTGGCACAGTGCTTAAGTGCTCGACTGCTAACCGAAAGGTCAGTGGTTCGAACCCACCAGCCGCTGCATGGGAGAAAGATGTGGCAGTCTTCTTCCGTAAAGATTACAGCCTCAGAACCCCTATGGGGCAGTTCTGCTCTATCCTGTAGGGTCACTGTGAGTCAGAATCAACTTGCCGGCAGCGGATTTGGGTTTTTGCTTATTCTCACAGTTTAATTTAGCTCAATATTGTTGCTGTTAGGTGCCATCGAGTCAATTCTGACTCCTAACAACCCCATGTGACAGAGCAGAACTGCCCTATAGGGTTTTCTTGGCTGTAGTAATCTTTATAGAAACAGATCACCACGTCTTTCTCCTGTAGAGCCTCTGGGTGAGTTTGAACCGCCAACCTTTCAGTTAGTAGCCGAAAGCTTACCCATTGCACCACCAGGGCTCTTTAATATTACATTTTATGGATTGTGGAGTCTTTTTTGCTGGCCCCCAGAGCTCATCTGTAATAACTTCTGTTTTTTATCTTAACTGAGGGAGCAGTCTTATGTAACCTTGGCCTCCTAATGAAACTTAGAACTTTCCTTGAGCTTTTCTCTTTTCATCCAGGTTCCATAGCCTGCATCAAAACTTTGTTAATCCAAATTATAATAAATGAGGTTAAACAGTAGATGGAGGAGTGGAATTATAATAAATGAGGTTAAACAGTAGATGGAGGAGTGGAAACTGACTTAGCAGAAGGAAACCTAAGTGCCTGTGGAAGAGAATACTGATGAGAAACAAGCTGACTCACCTAGCCGAATCCCTAAAACCTTACAAGTTTGAGGTACCAGGTATTTCAGAAAGCACAGTGAGACTTGGGTGTGAAAACAGTGAAATTAGTTGAATACTAATTAAGAGGTTTTTGTTACACCCCACCGAGCCAGGCAACTGTTCCTCCCCATCTTCACAAGACATGCCAGGTTTATTTTTTTGGAGAAATTAAACGAAAAAAGTTATAAAATGATGGACTGCATGTATAGCTGAAATCAGAGGTAAGGAGCTGGAGTGAAAGCATGATGGTTATGTGAAAATGTGAGCACTGTATAGTGACGCCTCCAGCCTCCTTCCCGTGTGCAGCTTCTAGGAGCCTGGCAGCCAGCCATTTGCTGTCCCACTTCACCCCCATGCTCTAGGCATGAAATTGAAGCATCCTTCTCTGGCCTCAGACCAAATCTACAGGGACAAACATTTGTGAATTCTATCAATGAACCCAACAGATACCTGCTCAGCTATGCAACATCAGCAAGTCCAACCCCTGCCCGAAGGGTTTCCAAACAGCTTTCCAGTGTCTCACTCTTAAATATGAAGAGATAATTCAGAATTAACAGGTATTTGAGGCAGTCACCAACATTAAAGATAGGTACCAAAAAAAAGAAAACTAGAAGAGAAAGAACTTGAGGAACAGAAAGACACAGAACTAAAAGAAAATCTTTAAAAAAAAAAAAAAAATCCTAACTTTAATATCCTCAAAGAAGAAGAGATATATGGCCATAAAACAGGAATAGAAGGTTATTGAAAAGAAGCTGTAAGAGAACAAGAAGTTGTTCTTGGAAATGAAAAATATGATAGCAAACAAACAAACAAACAAACAAAAAACTAAGTAAAAGGTTTGAGTGATAAAGGTAAGGAAATCTCTCAGAAAATAGGACAAAAAGTTAAAAAGACAGGAGAGAAAGATTTTAAAAAATTCAAGGCTCAATCCAGGAGTTACAGTATCTAACTAATAGAAGTTCATACAGAAGAAAAGAATGGGGAGGACATTATCAAAGAAAGAATACAAGAAGTTATCCTGCTACTTAAGGGCCTGAGACAACAGATTGAAAGATTTGCTAAGTGTTCAGCTTAATGAATTTACAAAGTACATCATTGGGACATGTCAGAACACTTGAGTATAAATGGAAAAATCTAAAAATTTCTAGAATTAAAAAAACAGCAACACAGGTCACCCCCCAGGGACTGTGAGTCTGAATGACGGTGGAGTTCTGTCATCTGCATTCTGAGAGAAGTTTTCGATCTAGAATTCTGTACCAAAACAAATGAGCAATCGTGTGATTATCAATCACAAGCAAGGTCTCAAAATACTTCCTACGTACCCCCTTTTCAGAAAGCTAGTGAAGGTTGTACTTCACCAAAACTAGAGAACAGAGTGAAGGACCTGGAGTCCCGGAGAGGAGGGATCCAGCACCAGAGGATGAAGCAGGCCTAGAAAGCAAGAAGGTGCAGGGCTCTGGCTAGAAGGGAGGTGTTGGGCAGCGGCAACAACAGGAATGGATAGATTATGTGATGACTGTGACTGGGTGGATAATCGAATTGAGAGAACTTTACAACATTGGGATCAAATTAGCTGCAAAGAAAAGTAAATGAAAGAGCAAGTCAGTCATCATCTCCAGGGAAAATAGAAGTTTTATTGAAAAAGAAAAGGAACATAATCAAAGTGCTACTTGATGAAGCAGTGGACAGTGGACAAAGTGTATATAATTGTAATTTACATAATAACATAAACCCTGATTATTTATTTAACCAGAATTGTAATGATTTTGGAGGGTTTGAGGGAAGAATGGGGGAATGGGCATAATACAGAACTTGATTCTCATCTATTAAGTAGGAAATCAGTAGTTAATTTCTAAATTTGATCCATCAAGAGATACCTAGAAATCTGAAGGCAAACCCCAGAAGAAGCAGCTAAGAGCTGAAAGTGGTTGTGTCTGAAGAACAGGAGGAATGCGGGTGGTATTAGGATAGTCTTGCTGGTTTGAGTGTGAGCCTTTACACTCTGGTTTTTAAAAAGCTTGTGTATATATTACTTTGATATGAATATGAAATAATAAAATTAAAATATATTCAATTAACATTCTTTCTCTGAAAATTTTAGTGGAAGAACGCAGTTTTGTTGAAAAGCACAGATGGCCATCGAATATGTACTTGAAACAGCTTGCGGAATACAGGAAGTATATCCACTCCCGAAAATATCGATGCTTAGTAATGTAACCTGAAGCTTTTATATAGTACACTTTCGTTTTAAATTATTATTATGAAGAATGAGCTACCACTGGGTTCCAGTAAAATTCTCATGATGGAAAACAATATGGGAGTTAAAAGAGAAATCACCATACAGTCAATGTGATTATTAGTTCTCTTTGAATAAACGATTGTGGTCTTAAAAGGGAGCGTGAGGTACCACAGGCTAGAACTAAGGCTTTAACCTAGTGTGTAAAACTGTTGTAAGCTACTTTTTCCCTTTAAGAGGCCCCATTGCTTCGTGATATTAAGACCTCCCAGTTAAGAAATGTTTAAATTTTAAAAAAAAGGTAAATCACACAGGATTAATACAGAAATTTCATCATGTCTAATTGCTCTATTAAAATAAGGAGCATTTAAAGACCCAGTATGACTGTTTCTATAATGAGAAAACTATGAGAAGACTGATGAGTCTAACATGAGATTTGGAATAGGAATTGGCCTGAAATTTTGAAAGCGAAATGCCACTTGGTTCCAAATCAGCGACAGTGTTTGAACCATCATGGAAAAAAAAAATTCTGTTTTTTATGTGGACAGACCAACTGAGTCACCTTGTCTCATCCCTGGAATTCTGATCAGGCAGGAAACCTAACAGGGCTAGCTCCATGGGTCTGTAGTCTGTGTAGTCACACAGGCCTCTGCGCTTAGAAGAGCCCCGAGCTTGGTTCAGGGCCCGACCATCACCGTCTTGAAATTCTTAATAATGTTTGAACAAGGAGCCCTGCATTTTCACTTTGCAGCGGGCCGCCCAAAATATGTGTATTTCCTGGAAGGAAATTAATATGTTTTCATGCTCAAACATGATTCTCTCTGAAAGCAGAAAAGATCACTGATAATCAAGGGAAGGGAAGGAGGTGCACGCTGGAGGGAAGCGCACATAGTGGGATTCCCTCCTTTGGGGAACCTGCCCTATCCAGGGCCTCTACTGCCCCATAGCTGGCAAGTGAGAAATACATTTGAGCGTAGTCTTAGCTTTGAAACACTCACAGTTCTGGCTGTAGATGATTCTGTAAGACCAGGATGTTGGTAAGAGTAATTGATCAGTGTGGCCTTTATACCCACTTAACAAGATGCTCGTAAAAAAAGATACTTTTTAGAGAATTCACTGAGTTCAAGACTTTCTTGTTTTAATGTATTTGCTAAGATTAAGATGTCAATGGCTTCAATTGTTTGAATTATTTGATAAGGAGTAGCATGAATCTTGTCCTTTAAGATAACCCAGTAAGTTAAAAGAAAGGATATACAAATTAAAGACTTGGTACATGTAGAGAAAACGGTACTGGAATAGAGGACAGAATTTTAGTTTCACTTGTATCACATGTCTATAGAAATAATTACATCAGAAGCTCACAAGCCTAGAGATGGGAAACCAGATTACTATTTATTGTTATCGTCATTTTCACCTGTAATTCAGTATTAGAATATATTTTTCTTTCAATTTCCAGTGATATTAGCATATGCATACTTCTTCCAGCTGTTCAAAGGTTTGATTAGTTTTATACTATAGTATTAGGACCACAAACAGTTAGCCCTTGAATGTATATCAACACTTGCAGAGTAAAACAGGAAGAACTCCCTACTGATAATCTTCCAAGAAACCTGATTTTAATTCGACTATATTGATGAAGATTACTGAAATGCACTATATTTTTTTTGTTTTTGTTTTAATCAACTATTTACAAATCCCACTTAAGATTAGTACTGTAAAGAATAGCTACTGTAGTAAATTTCTAGAAATTCATTTACATTTAAGAACTTCTAAAACACAATTATAGCCTTTCATTCTTCATAAGCATATTCTTCTCTCTATATGAATTATGACATTTAAAATTCTAAGTAACTTTTAATCTAGGAAATGGAGAAATAGAAGTTCTAAAGCAAACTAAAGGGTTTCCTTGAAAATACTATTTAATGTTAAATAGACTGTAGATAGTTCTTTTAGATTGGTTGATCCAAGTGAGAGTTGTGTTTGGAAGCTGGTGCTCCATTGGTGTTGAGCATGTAGTTACAGAGTTTTGTTTTGTTTTTTTAAATGGAAGTTCTTCACCACCTTGTGTGAGAGAGTTTAACACCCAGATGTGACAGCTGTCCAGAGCTAGTGAGAACAGTAATCAAAGTATGTTTTAAACCTGTTTGGATATAGACTCTTCAAGTATCTTTGAATTTATACAATTTAAAATAACAAGAAATTTAAAAATACTTATAATAAATCACTGCTTTTTTGAGTTTTTTTTTTTTTTTAATTGAAAGATTGTTTCTAGATGGGTATATGCTTTGTGCTGATCTCTGCTTCAGGATATTTACCAACCGTTTTAATTAGAGGAGGTACAATATGTTAGAATTAAGGCCTTTCCTTTTTTACTGGGCCAGGTTTTCATCCCATTTAACTCTCTGTATACTTCTAACTACTTTGTGCTCTTATTATAGGAGACTAGACCTGTAATAGGGAAGTTTCAGTAACATAACTGAAATTCACCTTGGTGCAAGCCAGCATAATGGTGGCTTTGTACTGGGTAGTAGCAGAAGACTGAAGAATTGGATAAATTTGACTTTCAAGACAGCTAACCTTTTCAAGTGTTTAAAAATGACACTACACTGATAGTTAATTAGACAAAAATGTCTTCAAAGAGTACTTTATTTTATTTAAAGCATCTGTTTAATTCAACCTTTAATAATTTTGCAAAGAAGGGTATGTGTGTATTTTAATATAGCCTGACCTGGATTTATATGTTTTTAGCTTTAGTATTTAACATTTTGTAACAAATAAACCTTTTTTTAAAACAAGTTCAAAATAGCATACTGTAGTTATTCTACCTTGGATAATAAAAATGCTGAGATGAATTTGGAACATACTGACTTGCATAATTACGTTTCACATAATTTTCATTACTGTGTAAAATATTTAGAACATTGCTGATTTTGTAGATGACTTGTATGTGTGTGGTGAGATAAAGAAATTTATATTACCTTCAGTAGCTGGTACAGAATTCCTCTTAGCAAGGTAACAGCCTTTGCTTAGAAAAATGATTTGATAATTAACATATAAGTGAATCCTCTGCAGTCTTAAGTGTTTAGGGCCAAGGATTTAGAGAAGTGGAGAAGTTGGTGTGCATAACAGAGGCTAAGAATTTGGAACTTCTTGTGACTGAGGAGGAGCCCTGGTGGTACAGTGGTTAAGAGTTCAGCAGCTAACCAAAAGGTTGGCAGTTTGAATCCACCAGCTGCTCTTTGGAAACCCTTGGAATCGACTCAACAGCAACGGGTTTGGTTTTTTTCGGGGGGGAGTGACTGAGGAGTCAAGATAAGGGGAAGAAGGGAAAAACACTAACTAGATAGTAGATAGGTGGTAACTTTGGTGAAGGGTAAGACAGTACACAGTACTAGGAAAGTCAGCACAACTTGACCAGGGCAAAGTCATAGAACTTCTCAGACACATCCAAATGCCCTGAGGGACCGAGCTACTGGGCTGAGGGCTGGGGACCATGGTCTTGGGGGACATCTAACTCAACTGGCATAACAGTCTGTAAAGAAAATGTTCTACATCCGACTGTGGTGAGTAGTGTCTGAGGTCTTAAAAGCCTGTGAGGGGCCATGTAAGACACATCTACTGGTCCCATCCCGGCTGGAGCATAGGAGAATGAAGAGGACCAAAGACACAAGAGAAAGATTAGTCCAGAGAACTAATGGACCACAACTACCACAACCTCCACTAGGCTGAGCCCAGAACAACTAGATTGTATCTGGTTACAACCATCGATTGCTCTGGCAGAGAGCACAATAGAGGGTCCAGGCAAAGAGGCAGAAAAATGTAGAATAAAATTTCAAATTCACACAAAAAAGGCCAAGCTTGCTGGTCTGACAGAGAGAGACTGGAGTAGACCCAGGAGTATAGACCCCTGGCACCCTTTTAACTTAGTACTGAGGTCACTCCAGAGGTTCACCCTTCAGCCAAAGATTAGACGGGTCTATAGGGTGAACAATAACACACGTGAGGAATGTGCTTTGTAATTCAATTATGTATACAAGACTAATGGGCACACTAGCCCAAAAGCAAAGACAAGAAAGCAGGAAAGGACAGGAAAACTTGAAACAGGGAACCCAGGGTGGAGAAGGGGAGAGTGTTGACACATCACAGGGTTGGCAGCCAACATCACAAAACAATTTGTGCATTAATTGTTTAATGAGAAACTAATTTGCTCTGTAAACTTTCACCTAAAGCACAAAAAAAAAAAAAAAAGAAAGAAAAAGGAGCTATACACGGGGATGGATTACGGATTGTGCATTGTACAATGCAACCCCTCCCTGAAGACTCCCAAATTGCCAGTAAAGTCAAATAGCCACTAAACTCAAAAAGGGCTGTCTACAATTGGAATTATGTTCCTAACACAGATCTGATCCGGGCACACATCTTTCTAGAAGAAGATCCCTATTGCCTATAGAAGAAACTCCACAATCCTCATTGCTTGCAAGGTCTTTACAACCTGGTCCTGTCTTTTCAGCCTATGCACTGTCCTTTCCCTCCCCAGTCTTAAGATACTGGACTGTCCATGCAAGTTATGTACTTAACACACCTCAGACTCTTCCTATGGCTTGGGTTGCCATCTTGTCTACTTTGGAAATCTCTACATATTCTGTAAAGTCCAACTTAATCATCATCTCTTTTTTTTTTCTATGACACTCCTAGGAAGAATTCATTGTTTTTGCATGTGTCTTTTGTTGGCTCTTTATTCATACTTTTCTTGTGGCAGTTACCTTTCTGGAGATTCTGTCTTAGTGGTTTCTACTTGGTTATAACTTGAGGGCAGGAACCATGTCTTGATTTACCTTTGTGACCCTCTCCCTAACTCTCCACCACGCACAGATCCTGGCATAGACTGTGTATAGTAAATGGCGCTGAAAAGGCCAGATTATCTCAGCTGGAACAATAATTGAAAACGTGCAAATGCAAATGAAAAGCATGCTTACACTTGAAGCTTGTTTCCCCTATGGCAGGAGTAATCAGAGTCAGTTGGTATGTGGGTCCCGGGGTGACCAGGGTGGCCAGCTGTTGGTGAAGTTGATAAACATTCAGAATGGAAATGTGATGGACTATTGAGGGGATATAGAGCATGTACAAAATGATGTTTAGAGACACCTGTGCCTGGGCGTCTCCATTGGAGACAGGGCAGTAAGGTGGGATGGGGGGATGGAGGAGTTCCTGTTGGTAAAGGGGAACCGCTCCCAGTGTCATACACAATGTTAGACTGTATGCCAATGACCCTGACTGCATGCAAATGATTTCCCTGGCACGTTGCAGACTGTTTCTCAAAATCTTAGTTGTGGGAACACTTACACACTGCTGGTGGGAATGTAAAATGCTACAACCACTTTGGAAATCGATTTGGTGCTTCCTTAA